GCTGTAGACTCAGGACTGAGACTGTAGATCCAGGACTGAGGCTGTGGATCCAGGACTGAGGCTGTAGACCCAGGACTGAGGCTGTAGACCCAGGACTGAGGCTGTAGATCCAGGACTGAGGCTGTAGACCCAGGACTGAGGCTGTCGATCCAGGACTGAGGCTGTAGACCCAGGACTGAGGCTGTGGATCCAGGACTGAGGCTGTAGACCCAGGACTGAGGCTGTAGATCCAGGACTGAGGCTGTAGACCCAGGACTGAGGCTGTGGATCCAGGACTGAGGCTGTAGACTCAGGACTGAGACTGTAGATCCAGGACTGAGGCTGTGGATCCAGGACTGAGGCTGTAGACCCAGGACTGAGGCTGTAGATCCAGGACTGAGGCTGTAGATCCAGGACTGAGGCTGTAGACCCAGGACTGAGGCTGTGGATCCAGGACTGAGGCTGTAGACCCAGGACTGAGGCTGTAGATCCAGGACTGAGGCTGTAGATCCAGGACTGAGGCTGTAGACCCAGGACTGAGGCTGTAGACCCAGGACTGAGGCTGTAGACCCAGGACTGAGGCTGTGGATCCAGGACTGAGGCTGTAGACCCAGGACTGAGGCTGTAGATCCAGGACTGAGGCTGTAGACCCAGGACTGAGGCTGTAGACCCAGGACTGAGGCTGTAGATCCAGGACTGAGGCTGTAGACCCAGGACTGAGGCTGCTGTCAACCCAGGACTGAGGCTGTAGACCCAGGACTGAGGCTGTAGATCCAGGACTGAGGCTGTAGACCCAGGACTGAGGCTGTGGATCCAGGACTGAGGCTGTAGACTCAGGACTGAGACTGTAGATCCAGGACTGAGGCTGTAGATCCAGGACTGAGGCTGTAGATCCAGGACTGAGGCTGTAGACCCAGGACTGAGGCTGTAGATCCAGGACTGAGGCTGTAGACCCAGGACTGAGGCTGTGGATCCAGGACTGAGGCTGTAGACCCAGGACTGAGGCTGTAGACCCAGGACTGAGGCTGTAGACCCAGGACTGAGGCTGTAGACCCAGGACTGAGGCTGTAGACCCAGGACTGAGGCTGAACTATACCATGAGAGACATTCCATTGTGATTTTCATGTGTTTTAATTTTCATTTTTCTACAAATAACTGAATCTTATGTGTTTTAATCAAACAGAGCCTCCTCCTGATCCTCTGTTGTTGAGGCGATGACTAAAGCGTCATTTAGTGCTAAAATATTCCCTGTGTGTGTGTCTCTGTGTGTGTGTGTGTGTGTGTCTCTGTGTATGTATGTGTGTGTGTGTGTGTGTGTGTGTGTGTGTGTCTCTGTGTATGTATGTGTGTGTGTGTGTGTGTCTCTGTGTGTGTATGTATGTGTGTGTGTGTGTCTCTGTGTGTGTATGTGTGTCTCTGTGTATGTATGTGTGTGTGTGTGTGTGTGTCTGTGTGTGTGTCTATGTGTGTGTGTCTGTCTGTGTGTGTGTCTATGTGTGTATGTGTGTGTGTGTGTGTGTGTGTATGTGTGTGTGTGTGTATGTGTGTGTGTCTATGTGTGTGTGTGTTGTGTGTCTGTCTGTGTGTCTGTGTGTGTGTGTCTGTGTGTCTCTGTGTGTGTGTGTGTGTGTGTCTGTGTGTTTGTGCGTCTGTGTGTCTCTGTGTGTGTGTGTGTGTGTGTCTCTGTGTGTCTCTGTGTGTGTGTGTGTGTCTCTGTGTGTGTGTCTGTGTGTCTCTGTGTGTGTGTGTGTGGTCGTGGCTCATCTCTATTGTCATCAGTTGTCGGGGATAATGGGCTCTGGGCGGATCGTGGTTTAGCTGCTGTTTAGTTCATGGATAAGTGTGTGGATAAATGAGTGTGTTGTTTAGTTCATGGATAAGTGTGTGGATAAATGAGTGTGTTGTTTAGTTCATGGATAAGTGTGTGGATAAATGAGTGTGTTGCTGTTGGGGCCGTGACTGAGGTCCTGGTTTGGATTTGGATAACGACAAGAACCATTTTGTTAGCTAGCCTTTAAGCTAAAATACATTTCTAACTGGGCTAGCTAACTTTCAAAGCGTAAAAAATCTGAATATATCGAGATTTGATTTGTTTTTGTCGTCAGCAAGAAGGTGGTGGGTGTGATCTCCAGACGGGGCCTTTCTGTGTGGAGTTTGCATGTTCTCCCCGTGTCTGGGTAGGTTTCCTCCGGGTGCTCCTGTCCTATATAAGTATGATGCCATTGCACCACTATGACATCACACTCAGAGCAGTTTTCTATATGTTAAAACAAAAGTATTGCTCATAAATCAGTTTTGGCAAATTTCTTAAATGAAATGAGGGTTAAATACAAAGAAATAGAGTTAGAAAAATAACCTACTCAAGTAATGGGTTCGAAGCCTGCATCTATTTTCACTTTTGAATGCACTGTGATTATCCAGGATTTGAATGCCGTGATTTTAACGATTCACAACAAGAAAAGAAAATCAGGCATTTAGACACACTACTAAAAAACGTGGCTTGCTGTCTTACGCAATCACGTGCCTGTGTTTTCAGCTGGTCATTTTCAAATTTTGAAAAACCCCCATAAACGACTATACTCCTCCCTCTGGTGGCAGCATAGGGAGTTACAGGCAGACGGCATTTTGTACCGTTCAGACTTGTTACACCATACATTCAACTTTTTTTCTGGTATTTTTTTGTATTAATACTTTCTAAAACATGGAATAACAAAATATGCGTCACGGTAAACTCAGATCCAGTGGTTTCAGTCTGGGTGGCGTGCGGCCGCTCTCCCGGCGTCTGCTTTGTTCCATAACACAATAATAGTTTATATCGTCTCATTTATATTTTATGAAATGCATCAAAGCAATAAAACCCCACATTAAAAATGCAGACGACGCTTCCTGTTTGGGATTCTTCTTCATCTCTGGACGGACACACACCTCCCACTGCAGCAGAACCTTCAGGACGGACACACACCTCCCACTGCAGCAGAACCTTCAGGACGGACACACACCTCCCACTGCAGCAGAACCTTCAGACACACACCTCCCACTGCAGCAGAACCTTCAGGACGGACACACACCTCCCACTGCAGCAGAACCTTCAGGACGGACACACACCTCCCACTGCAGCAGAACCTTCAGGACGAACACACACCTCCCACTGCAGCAGAACCTTCAGACACACACCTCCCACTGCAGCAGAACCTTCAGGACGGACACACACCTCCCACTGCAGCAGAACCTTCAGGACGGACACACACCTCCCACTGCAGCAGAACCTTCGGGACGGACACACACCTCCCACTGCAGCAGAACCTTCAGGACGGACACACACCTCCCACTGCAGCAGAACCTTCAGGACGGACACACACCTCCCACTGCAGCAGAACCTTCAGGACGGACACACACCTCCCACTGCAGCAGAACCTTCAGGACGGACACACACCTCCCACTGCAGCAGAACCTTCGGGACGGACACACACCTCCCACTGCAGCAGAACCTTCAGGAGGGACACACACCTCCCACTGCAGCAGAACCTTCAGGACGGACACACACCTCCCACTGCAGCAGAACCTTCGGGACGGACACACACCTCCCACTGCAGCAGAACCTTCAGGACGGACACACACCTCCCACTGCAGCAGAACCTTCAGGACGGACACACACCTCCCACTGCAGCAGAACCTTCAGGACGGACACACACCTCCCACTGCAGCAGAACCTTCGGGACGGACACACACCTCCCACTGCAGCAGAACCTTCGGGACGGACACACACCTCCCACTGCAGCAGAACCTTCAGGACGGACACACACCTCCCACTGCAGCAGAACCTTCGGGACGGACACACACCTCCCACTGCAGCAGAACCTTCAGGACGGACACACACCTCCCACTGCAGCAGAACCTTCGGGACGGACACACACCTCCCACTGCAGCAGAACCTTCGGGACGGACACACACCTCCCACTGCAGCAGAACCTTCGGGACGGACACACACCTCCCACTGCAGCAGAACCTTCGGGACGGACACACACCTCCCACTGCAGCAGAACCTTCAGGACGGACACACACCTCCCACTGCAGCAGAACCTTCGGGACGGACACACACCTCCCACTGCAGCAGAACCTTCGGGACGGACACACACCTCCCACTGCAGCAGAACCTTCAGGACGGACACACACCTCCCACTGCAGCAGAACCTTCAGGACGGACACACACCTCCCACTGCAGCAGAACCTTCGGGACGGACACACACCTCCCACTGCAGCAGAACCTTCGGGACGGACACACACCTCCCACTGCAGCAGAACCTTCAGGACGGACACACACCTCCCACTGCAGCAGAACCTTCAGGACGGACACACACCTCCCACTGCAGCAGAACCTTCAGGACGGACACACACCTCCCACTGCAGCAGAACCTTCGGGACGGACACACACCTCCCACTGCAGCAGAACCTTCGGGACGGACACACACCTCCCACTGCAGCAGAACCTTCGGGACGGACACACACCTCCCACTGCAGCAGAACCTTCGGGACGGACACACACCTCCCACTGCAGCAGAACCTTCAGGACGGACACACACCTCCCACTGCAGCAGAACCTTCGGGACGGACACACACCTCCCACTGCAGCAGAACCTTCGGGACGGACACACACCTCCCACTGCAGCAGAACCTTCGGGACGGACACACACCTCCCACTGCAGCAGAACCTTCAGGACGGACACACACCTCCCACTGCAGCAGAACCTTCAGGACGGACACACACCTCCCACTGCAGCAGAACCTTCAGGACGGACACACACCTCCCACTGCAGCAGAACCTTCAGGACGGACACACACCTCCCACTGCAGCAGAACCTTCAGGACGGACACACACCTCTCTGATGCATTTTGTGTGTTACCTGATGAGTTATGTGTGTGTGTGTTACCTGACGAGTTGTGTGCATGTGTTACCTGATGAGTTATGTGTGTGTGTGTTACCCAATGCATTTTGTGTGTGTTACTTGAGGAGTTATGTGTGTGTGTCTTTGTGTTACCTGACGAGTTGTGTGCTTGTGTTACCTGATGAGTTATGTGTGTGTGTGTTAGCTGATGAGTTATGTATGTGTGTGTTACCTGATGAGTTATGTGTGTGTGTGTGTTACCTGACGAGTTGTGTGTGTGTGTGTGTGTTACCTGATGAGTTATGTGTGTGTGTCTTTGTGTTACCTGACGAGTTGTGTGCGTGTGTTACCTGATGAGTTATGTGTGTGTGTGTTACCTGATGAGTTATGTGTGTGTGTTACCTGATGAGTTATGTGTGTGTGTGTTACCCGATGCATTTTGTATGTGTTACCTGATGAGTTATGTGTGTGTGTGCTACCTGATGAGATATGTGTGTTACCTGACGAGTTGTGTGTGTGTGTGTGTGTGTTACGTGATGAGTTGTGTGTGTTACCTGACGAGTTGTGTGTGTGTGTTGCCTGATGAGTTGTGTGTGTTACCTGACGAGTTGTATGTGTGTGTGTATTACCTGACGAGTTATGTGTGGGTGTGTGTTACCTGACGAGTTATGTGTGTGTTACCTGAGAAGTTGTGTGTGTGTGTGTTATCTGAAGAGTTGTGTGTGTGTGTTAACTGACGAGTTGTGTGCGTGTGTTACCTGATGAGTTATGTGTGTGTTAGCTGATGAGTTATGTATGTGTGTGTTACCTGATGAGTTATGTGTGTGTGTGTTACCTGACGAGTTGTGTGTGTGTGTGTGTTACCTGATGAGTTATGTGTGTGTGTCTTTGTGTTACCTGACGAGTTGTGTGCGTGTGTTACCTGATGAGTTATGTGTGTGTGTGTTACCTGATGAGTTATGTGTGTGTGTGTTACCTGATGAGTTATGTGTGTGTGTTACCTGATGAGTTATGTGTGTGTGTGTTACCCGATGCATTTTGTATGTGTTACCAGATGAGTTATGTGTGTGTGTGCTACCTGATGAGATATGTGTGTTACCTGACGAGTTGTGTGTGTGTGTGTGTTACGTGATGAGTTGTGTGTGTTACCTGATGAGTTGTGTGTGTTACCTGAGGAGTTGTATGTGTGTGTGTATTACCTGACGAGTTATGTGTGGGTGTGTGTTACCTGAGGAGTTGTGTGTGTGTGTGTTATCTGAAGAGTTGTGTGTGTGTGTTACCTGACGAGTTGTGTGTGTGTGTTACCTGTCGAGTTGTGTGTGTGTGTTACCTGATGAGTTGTGTGTGTTACCTGATGAGTTGTGTGTGTGTGTGTGTTACCTGACGAGTTGTGTGTGTTACCTGATGAGTTATGTGTGTATGTGTTTCCTGATGAGTTTTGTGTGTGTGTGTTACTTGATGAGTTGTGTGTGTTACCTGAGGAGTTGTGTGTGAGTGTGTGTTATCTGACGAGTTGTGTGTGTGCGTGTTACCTGACGAGTTGTGTGTGTGTGTGTGTTACCTGACGAGTTGTGTGTGTTACCTGATGAGTTATGTGTGTATGTGTTTCCTGATGAGTTTTGTGTGTGTGTGTTACCTGAGGAGTTGTGTGCGAGTGTGTGTTATCTGACGAGTTGTGTGTGTGCGTGTTACTTGACGAGTTGTGTGTGTGTGCGTGTTACCTGACGAGTTGTGTGTGTGTGTGTGTTACCTGATGAGTTGTGTGTGTGTGCGTGTTACCTGACGAGTTGTGTGTGTGTTACCTGACGAGTTGTGTGTGTGTGCTACCTGACGAGTTGTGTGTGTGTTACCTGAGGAGTTGTGTGTGTGTGTTACCTAAGGAGTTGTGTGTGTGTGTGTTACCTGACGAGTTGTGTGTTTGTGTGTTACCTGAGGAGTTGTGTGTGTGTGCGTGTTACCTGACGAGTTGTGTGTGTGTTACCTGACAAATTGTGTGTGTGTGTGTGTTACCTGGCGAGTTGTGTGTGTGTGTTATCTGAAGAGTTGTGTGTGTGTGTGTGTTATCTGAAAAGTTGTGTGTGTGTGTGTGTGTTACCTGAGGAGTTGTGTGTGTGTGTGTTACCTAAGGAGTTGTGTGTGTGTGTGTTACCTGACGAGTTGTGTGTTTGTGTGTTACCTGAGGAGTTGTGTGTGTGTGTGTGTTACCTGACGAATTGTGTGTGTGTGTGTGTGTGTTACCTGGCGAGTTGTGTGTGTGTGTGTGTTATCTGAAGAGTTGTGTGTGTGTGTGTGTGTTATCTGAAAAGTTGTGTGTGTGTTACCTGAGGAGTTGTGTGTGTGTGTGTTACCTAAGGAGTTGTGTGTCTGTGTGTTACCTGACGAGTTGTGTGTTTGTGTGTTACCTGAGGAGTTGTGTGTGTGTGCGTGTTACCTGACGAGTTGTGTGTGTGTTACCTGACGAATTGTGTGTGTGTGTGTGTTACCTGGCGAGTTGTGTGTGTGTGTTATCCGAAGAGTTGTGTGCGTGTGTGTTATCTGAAAAGTTGTGTGTGTGTGTTATCTGAAGAGTTGTGTGTGTGTGTGTTAATTGAAGAGTTGTGTGTTTGTGTGTTACCTGAGGAGTTGTGTGTGTGTGTGCGTGTTACCTGACGAGTTGTGTGTGTGTTACCTGACGAGTTGTGTGTGTTACTTGATGAGTTGTGTGTGTGTGTGTGTTACCTGACGAGTTGTGTGTGTGTGTGTGTGTGTGTTATCTGATGAGTTGAGTATTTATATGACTGCTGCTGTGATTTAGGACTACACACAAACACATTGGAAATAAAAACTTTTCTACACTTTTCTTTCATTTTATTCATTCAAAAAACCCAAAATAAACGCTGTAACTTATCTTTAAATAAATCTCGATCTTTTTAGTTGGATTTTCTGTTGTGATTCTTTGCAGAGTGAAGCGTGGACCAGATCTGTGTCCCCAGCGCTGGCAGAGAAACTGTAAACACTGAAAAACACAATAAAATGTGTTTTTGTGACGGCGGCGGCGGCGGCGGCAGCGCTCGGTCGGTGTCAAAGCCGCGGCGCTAATGAGTCCCAGATCTGCAGCTTAAGCATATAGTGGATTACATCAGTGAGCGGGACCAGAACAGGCTGCGAGGACCAGAACAGGCTGCGAGGACCAGAACAGGCTGCGAGGACCAGAACAGGCTGCGAGGACCAGAACAGGCGTGCAAGGACCAGAACAGACTGGGAGGACCAGAACAGGCTGCGAGGACCAGAACAGGCGTGCGAGGACCAGAACAGGCGTGCGAGGACCAGAACAGGCTGGGAGGACCAGAACAGGCTGCGAGGACCAGAACAGGCGTGTGAGGACCAGAACAGGCTGCGAGGACCAGAACAGGCTGCGAGGACCAGAACAGGCTGCGAGGACCAGAACAGGCGTGCGAGGACCAGAACAGGCTGCGAGGACAAGAACAGGCTGCGAGGACCAGAACAGGCTGCGAGGACCAGAACAGGCGTGCAAGGACCAGAACAGGCTGGGAGGACCAGAACAGGCGTGCAAGGACCAGAACAGGCTGCGAGGACCAGAACAGGCGTGCAAGGACCAGAACAGGCTGGGAGGACCAGAACAGGCGTGCAAGGACCAGAACAGGCTGCGAGGACCAGAACAGGCTGCGAGGACCAGAACAGGCGTGCAAGGACCAGAACAGGCTGGGAGGACCAGAACAGGCTGCGAGGATCAGAACAGGCGTGCGAGGACCAGAACAGGCTGCGACGACCAGAACAGGCGTGCAAGGACCAGAACAGGCTGGGAGGACCAGAACAGGCTGCGAGGACCAGAACAGGCGTGCAAGGACCAGAAAAGGCTGGGAGGACCAGAACAGGCTGCGAGGACCAGAACAGGCGTGCGAGGACCAGAACAGGCGTGCGAGGACCAGAACAGGCTGCGAGGACCAGAACAGGCTGCGATGACCAGAACAGGCGTGTGAGGACCAGAACAGGCTGCGAGGACCAGAACAGGCGTGCGAGGACCAGAACAGGCGTGCGAGGACCAGAACAGGCTGGGAGGACCAGAACAGGCTGCGAGGACCAGAACAGGCTGCGATGACCAGAACAGGCGTGTGAGGACCAGAACAGGCTGCGAGGACCAGAACAGGCTGCGAGGACCAGAACAGGCGTGCGAGGACCAGAACAGGCTGCGAGGACAAGAACAGGCTGCGAGGACCAGAACAGGCTGCGAGGACCAGAACAGGCGTGCAAGGACCAGAACAGGCTGGGAGGACCAGAACAGGCGTGCAAGGACCAGAACAGGCTGCGAGGACCAGAACAGGCGTGCAAGGACCAGAACAGGCTGGGAGGACCAGAACAGGCGTGCAAGGACCAGAACAGGCTGCGAGGACCAGAACAGGCTGCGAGGACCAGAACAGGCGTGCAAGGACCAGAACAGGCTGGGAGGACCAGAACAGGCTGCGAGGATCAGAACAGGCGTGCGAGGACCAGAACAGGCTGCGACGACCAGAACAGGCGTGCAAGGACCAGAACAGGCTGGGAGGACCAGAACAGGCTGCGAGGACCAGAACAGGCGTGCAAGGACCAGAAAAGGCTGGGAGGACCAGAACAGGCTGCGAGGACCAGAACAGGCGTGCGAGGACCAGAACAGGCGTGCGAGGACCAGAACAGGCTGCGAGGACCAGAACAGGCTGCGATGACCAGAACAGGCGTGTGAGGACCAGAACAGGCTGCGAGGACCAGAACAGGCTGCGAGGACCAGAACAGGCTGCGAGGACCAGAACAGGCGTGCAAGGACCAGAACAGGCTGGGAGGACCAGAACAGGCGTGCAAGCACCAGAACAGGCTGCGAGGACCAGAACAGGCGTGCAAGGACCAGAACAGGCTGGGAGGACCAGAACAGGCGTGCAAGGACCAGAACAGGCTGCGAGGACCAGAACAGGCTGCGAGGACCAGAAAAGGCGTGCAAGGACCAGAACAGGCTGGGAGGACCAGAACAGGCTGCGAGGATCAGAACAGGCGTGCGAGGACCAGAACAGGCTGCGAGGACCAGAACAGGCGTGCAAGGACCAGAACAGGCTGGGAGGACCAGAACAGGCTGCGAGGACCAGAACAGGCGTGCAAGGACCAGAAAAGGCTGGGAGGACCAGAACAGGCTGCGAGGACCAGAACAGGCGTGCGAGGACCAGAACAGGCGTGCGAGGACCAGAACAGGCTGCGAGGACCAGAACAGGCGTGCGAGGACCAGAACAGGCTGCGAGGACCAGAACAGGCGTGCGAGGACCAGAACAGGCTGCGAGGACCAGAACAGGCGTGCGAGGACCAGAACAGGCTGCGAGGACCAGAACAGGCTGCGAGGACCAGAACAGGCGTGCAAGGACCAGAACAGGCTGGGAGGACCAGAACAGGCTGCGAGGATCAGAACAGGCGTGCGAGGACCAGAACAGGCTGCGACGACCAGAACAGGCGTGCAAGGACCAGAACAGGCTGGGAGGACCAGAACAGGCTGCGAGGACCAGAACAGGCGTGCAAGGACCAGAAAAGGCTGGGAGGACCAGAACAGGCTGCGAGGACCAGAACAGGCGTGCGAGGACCAGAACAGGCGTGCGAGGACCAGAACAGGCTGCGAGGACCAGAACAGGCTGCGATGACCAGAACAGGCGTGTGAGGACCAGAACAGGCTGCGAGGACCAGAACAGGCTGCGAGGACCAGAACAGGCTGCGAGGACCAGAACAGGCGTGCAAGGACCAGAACAGGCTGGGAGGACCAGAACAGGCGTGCAAGCACCAGAACAGGCTGCGAGGACCAGAACAGGCGTGCAAGGACCAGAACAGGCTGGGAGGACCAGAACAGGCGTGCAAGGACCAGAACAGGCTGCGAGGACCAGAACAGGCTGCGAGGACCAGAAAAGGCGTGCAAGGACCAGAACAGGCTGGGAGGACCAGAACAGGCTGCGAGGATCAGAACAGGCGTGCGAGGACCAGAACAGGCTGCGAGGACCAGAACAGGCGTGCAAGGACCAGAACAGGCTGGGAGGACCAGAACAGGCTGCGAGGACCAGAACAGGCGTGCAAGGACCAGAAAAGGCTGGGAGGACCAGAACAGGCTGCGAGGACCAGAACAGGCGTGCGAGGACCAGAACAGGCGTGCGAGGACCAGAACAGGCTGCGAGGACCAGAACAGGCGTGCGAGGACCAGAACAGGCTGCGAGGACCAGAACAGGCGTGCGAGGACCAGAACAGGCTGCGAGGACCAGAACAGGCGTGCGAGGACCAGAACAGGCTGCGAGGACCAGAACAGGCGTGCAAGGACCAGAACAGGCTGCAAGGACCAGAACAGGCTGGGAGGACCAGAACAGGCTGCGAGGACAAGAACAGGCTGCGAGGACCAGAACAGGCTGCGAGGACCAGAACAGGCGTGCAAGGACCAGAACAGGCTGGGAGGACCAGAACAGGCGTGCAAGGACCAGAACAGGCTGCGAGGACCAGAACAGGCGTGCAAGAACCAGAACAGGCTGGGAGGACCAGAACAGGCGTGCGAGGACCAGAACAGGCTGCGAGGACCAGAACAGGCGTGCAAGGACCAGAACAGGCTGGGAGGACCAGAACAGGCTGCGAGGACCAGAACAGGCGTGCAAGGACCAGAAAAGGCTGGGAGGACCAGAACAGGCTGCGAGGACCAGAACAGGCGTGCGAGGACCAGAACAGGCGTGCGAGGACCAGAACAGGCTGCGAGGACCAGAACAGGCGTGCGAGGACCAGAACAGGCTGCGAGGACCAGAACAGGCGTGCGAGGACCAGAACCATCTGCGAGGACCAGAACAGGCGTGCGAGGACCAGAACAGGCTGCGAGGACCAGAACAGGCGTGCAAGGACCAGAACAGGCTGCAAGGACCAGAACAGGCTGGGAGGACCAGAACAGGCTGCGAGGACAAGAACAGGCTGCGAGGACCAGAACAGGCTGCGAGGACCAGAACAGGCTGCGAGGACCAGAACAGGCTTCGAGGACCAGAACAGGCTGCGAGGACCAGAACAGGCGTGCAAGGACCAGAACAGGCTGCGAGGACCAGAACAGGCGTGCGAGGACCAGAACAGGCTGCGAGGACCAGAACAGGCGTGCAAGGACCAGAACAGGCCGCGAGGACCAGAACAGGCTGCGAGGACCAGAACAGGCTGCAAGGACCAGAACAGGCTGGGAGGACCAGAACAGGCTGCGAGGACCAGAACAGGCTGCGAGGACCAGAACAGGCTGCGAGTCAGAACAGGCTGCGAGGACCAGAACAGGCGTGCGAGGACCAGAACAGGCTGCGAGGACCAGAACAGGCGTGCAAGGACCAGAACAGGCCGCGAGGACCAGAACAGGCTGCGAGGACCAGAACAGGCTGGGAGGACCAGAACAGGCTGGGAGGACCAGAACAGGCTGCGAGGACCAGAACAGGCTGCGAGGACCAGAACAGGCTGCGAGGACCAGAACAGGCTGCGAGGACCAGAACAGGCTGCGAGGACCAGAACAGGCTGCGAGGACCAGAACAGGCTGCGAGGACCAGAACAGGCTGCGAGGACCAGAACAGGCTGCGAGGACCAGAACACGCGTGCAAGGACCAGAACAGGCCACGAGGAGCAGGTGTGCGCCACTAACACTGCAAAAAGTGGTGGGAAATAAATTAAAAATGGCTTAAATTTGGCAAAATGTGTCTTGGTTTGAGCACATTTTGACTGTCTTTAAAGGTGCATCTCTACCAAAGGCCACAGTGTTATGTGGAGCTGCCACTCAGACCTGCTGCACTTCCAGGTCATCCAGCCTGCTCTTCAGACTGGAGTTTAGCCAGGGTAGAGACCAGCAGAGAGACCAGCAGAGAGAGACCAGCAGAGAGAGACCAGAGAGAGACCAGAGAGAGAGACCAGAGAGAGACCAGCAGAGAGAGACCGGAGAGAGACCGGAGAGAGACCAGAGAGAGAGACCAGAGAGAGACCAGAGAGAGAGACCGGAGAGAGACCGGGGAGAGAGACCAGAGAGAGACCAGCAGAGAGAGACCGGAGAGAGACCGGAGAGAGACCAGCAGAGAGAGACCGGAGAGAGACCAGAGAGAGACCAGAGAGAGACCAGCAGAGAGAGACCGGAGAGAGACCGGAGAGAGACCAGAGAGAGAGACCAGAGAGAGACCAGAGAGAGACCGGAGAGAGAGACCGGAGAGAGAGACCAGAGAGAGACCAGAGAGAGAGACCGGAGAGAGAGACCAGAGAGAGACCGGAGAGAGACCAGAGAGAGACCAGAGAGAGAGACCAGAGAGAGACCAGAGAGAGAGACCAGAGAGAGACCAGAGAGAGACCAGAGAGAGACCGGAGAGAGAGACCAGAGAGAGACCGGAGAGAGACCGGAGAGAGACCAGAGAGAGGCCAGAGAGAGACCAGAGAGACACCAGAGAGAGAGACCGGAGAGAGACCAGCAGAGAGAGACCGGAGAGAGACCAGAGAGAGAGACCAGAGAGAGACCAGCAGAGAGAGACCGGAGAGAGACCGGAGAGAGAGACCAGCAGAGAGAGACCGGAGAGAGACCAGCAGAGAGACCAGCAGAGAGAGACCGGAGAGAGACCGGAGAGAGAGACCAGAGAGAGACCAGCAGAGAGAGACCGGAGAGAGACCATAGACCGAGCAGGTGTGCAGAGAGACCAGCAGAGAGAACCCGAGAGAGACCAGAGAGAGAGACCAGAGAGAGACCGGAGAGAGACCAGAGAGAGACCAGAGAGAGACCGGAGAGACCAGAGAGACCGGAGAGAGACCGAGAGAGAGACCAGAGAGAGAGACCAGAGAGAGACCGGAGAGAGAGAGAGAGACCAGAGAGAGAGACCAGAGAGAGACCAGAGAGAGAGACCAGAGAGAGAGACCAGAGAGAGACCAGAGAGAGACCAGGAGAGAGACCGGAGAGAGACCAGAGAGAGAGACCAGAGAGAGACCAGAGAGAGACCAGAGAGAGAGACCAGAGAGAGAGACCAGCAGAGAGAGAGCGGAGAGAGAGACCAGAGAGAGAGACCAGCAGAGAGAGACCGGAGAGAGAGACCAGAGAGAGAGACCAGAGAGAGACCAGAGAGAGAGACCAGAGAGAGACCAGAGAGAGACCAGAGAGAGACCAGAGAGAGACCAGAGAGAGAGACCAGAGAGAGAGACCAGAGAGAGAGACCAGAGAGAGACCAGAGAGAGAGACCAGAGAGAGAGACCAGAGAGAGAGACCAGAGAGAGAGACCAGAGAGAGAGACCAGAGAGAGACCAGAGAGAGACCAGAGAGAGAGACCAGAGAGAGACCAGAGAGAGACCAGAGAGAGACCAGAGAGAGACCAGAGAGAGACCAGAGAGAGACCAGAGAGAGACCAGAGAGAGACCAGAGAGAGACCAGAGAGAGAGACCCGAGAGATGACCTAAAGAGAGATGACCTAAAGAGAGTTTCTTATTAACAGCTACAACAACATTATTTCCTCATATTTGATCATTTTTACAGTGTAACCAGGTGTGCGACACTTAAACAGGTGCAGCTCGAGAGAGAAACCAGCAGGAGGTGAGACCATCGTTCATCCTTAATGCGGCTGAAAGACGATGGTTCTGGGAGTCGGTGGAGACGATGGTAAACCGTGGATTACGTCTGTGTGGAGTCAGCTGTTCTTGAAACTAAAGCTGAAGACCCGCACATTCTTCATGGAGATAAAGTACAAGCCTGGATTATTAATGTGTCACCACAACGATATCACTCAGACACACAACACCATCACACAGACACACAATACTATCACACAGACACACAACACCATCACACAGACACACAATACTATCACACAGACACACAACACCATCACACAGACACACAACACATCACACAGACACACAATACTATCACACAGACACACACAACACCATCACACAGACACACAATACTATCACACAGACACACGATACTATCACACAGACACACAACACCATCACACAGACACACAATACCATCACACAGACACACAACACCATCACACAGACACACAACACCATCACACAGACACACAACACATCACACAGACACACAATATTATCACACAGACACACAACACCATCACACAGACACACAATACTATCACACAGACACACAACACCATCACACAGATACACAACACATCAACAGACACACAATACTATCACACAGACACACAACACATCACACAGACACACAACACCATCACACAGACACATAACACCATCACACAGACACACAACACCATAACAGAGACACACAACACCATCACACAGACACACAATACTATCACACAGACACACAATACTATCACACAGACACACAACACCATCACACAGACACACAATACCATCACACAGACACACAACACCATCACACAGACACGCAATACTATCACAGACACACAACACGATCACACAGACACACAACACCATCACACAGACACACAACACCATCACACAGACACACAATACTATCACACAGACACACAATACTATCACACAGACACACAATACTATCACACAGACACACAACACCATCACACAGACACACAATACTATCACACAGACACACAACACCATCACACAGACACACAACACCATCACACAGACACACAACACCATCACACAGACACACAATACTATCACACAGACACACAACACATCAGACAGACACACAAATACTATCACACAGACACACAACACATCACACAGACACACAATACTATCACACAGACACACAATACTATCACAGACACACAACACCATCACACCAGACACGCAATACTATCACACAGACACACAATACTATCACACAGACACACAGTACTATCACACAGACACACAACACCATCACACAGACACACAACACCATCACACAGACACACAACACATCAGACAGACACACAATACTATCACACAGACACACAACACATCACACAGACACACAATACTATCACACAGACACACAACACCATCACACAGACACACAATACTATCACACAGACACACAACACCATCACACAGACACACAATACCATCACACAGACACACAGTACTATCACACAGACACACAGTACTATCACACAGACACACAACACCATAACACAGACACACAACACCATCACACAGACACACAATACTATCACACAGACACACAACACCATCACACAGACACACAATACTATCACACAGACACACAACACCATCACACAGACACACAATACCATCACACAGACACACAACACCATCACACAGACACACAACGCCATCACACAGACACACAACACCATCACACAGACACACAACACCTTCACACAGACACACAACACCATCACACAGACACACATTACCATCACAGAGACACACAACATCTTCACACAGACACACAACACCATCACACAGACACACAATACTATCACAGACACACAATACTATCACACAGACATACAACACCATCACACAGACACACAACACCATCACACAGACACACAATACTATCACACAGACACACAATACTATTACAGACACACAATACTATCACTCAGACACACAATACTATCACACAGACACACAATACTATTACAGACACACAATACTATCACACAGACACACAACACCATCACACAGACACACAACACCATCACACAGACACACAATACTATCACACAGACACACAACACCATCACACAGACACACAACACCATCACACAGACACACAACACCATCACACAGACACACAATACTATCACAGAGACACACAATACTATCACACAGACACACAACACCATCACACAGACACACAATACTATCACACAGACACACAACACCATCACACAGACACACAATACCATCACACAGACACACAACACCATCACACAGACACACAATACCATCACACAGACACACAACACCATCACACAGACACACAATACTATCACACAGACACACAACACCATCACACAGACACACAACACCATCACACAGACACAAAACACCATCACACAGACACACAATACTATCACACAGACACACAACACCATCACACAGACACACAACACCATCACACAGACACACAATACTATCACACAGACACACAACACCATCACACAGACACACGATACTATCACAGACACACAACACCATCACACAGACACGCAATACTATCACACAGACACACAATACTATCACACAGACACACAACACCATCACACAGACACACAACACCATCACACAGACACACAATACTATCATACAGACACACAATACTATCACACAGACACACAACACCATCACAGACACACAAGACTATCACACAGACACACAACACCATCACACAGACACACAACACCATCACACAGACACACAATACTATCACACAGACACACAATACTATCACACAGACACACAACACCATCACACAGACACACAATACTATCACACAGACACACAATACTATCACACAGACACACAACACCATCACACAGACACACAATACTATCACACAGACACACAATACTATCACACAGACACACAACACCATCACAGACACAAAATACTATCACACAGACACACAATACTATCACACAGACACACAACACCATCACACAGACACACAACACCATCAC